CATGCCTGTAGTCCCCGCTACTCAGGAGGCTGAGGCAGAAGGATCGCTTGAGCCCAGGAGTTTGAGGTTGCTGTGAGCTAGGCTGATGCCACGGCACTTATTCTAGCCCGGGCAAAAGAGTGAGACTCTTTCTCAAAAAAAAAAAAGAAAGAAAGAATTATTTCCGTCATCTCTCTAGGGAACTTTCCTATGGAATTCCCCCCACAGATTGGATTGCAACAATGGCTTTTAGATGCCTGAGATCTGTCTCAATAGAAACTGGCAAATCTTGGTGATGTCATTCTCGGGAGGAGAGTTGGTAAATGGCCTGTTTTCAAACTTCAGCCTGTGTCAGATTCACCTGGAAGACTTGCTAAAATGCAAATTGCTGGGCCCTATACACCTAGAGTTTCTAATTCAGCAGGTCTGGAGCAGAACGTAAGCATGCGTAACATCTGTTCCTTCCCATGTCTTGTGATTTGGGTACATAACAGTGATGACTAGAGAGAGGGGTGGGCACATGTTCACAATAGCACACGCATTGTTGATTGTCATCACCATCATTATCTCTCAGTCCTCATAGGTTTGTTACTTGGTTTTTGTTGTTGTTTTAAACACTGAGGCCCAAGGAAACAGCGATTCTCTGGTGTACCTGTGCAGCCAGTGCCCTTTGTGGTAAGCCAGCCCACTCCGTATAAGGCTTCTGGTTTATACTAGGAGTAGAGACATAAGCTTCTAGGGTGAGGATATATGGAAAAATAGGATGGGAGCAGCTGGGAAACTTGCTTCCCACACACGTTCCTATCATTAAAAATTTAAAAAATGAATTTGGGTTTTGGGCAGCTGAGACAGGATAAAGGAAGGGGAAGTTTGGCAGATCTGGCTCTTCCCATCCCTCTAAATCCCTTAGTCATCCCTTGCTCGCATTACAAGGATAAGATGGTTGGTTTGGGTTTTGTTTTGCTCGTACTCATTGTTATTAAAGGTGATTAATGTATACTTATTTTCTCTTATAGCAGTTCTGGAGCGTCCCAGGAGGAACAGAATGATCTCGATATTGGTCTTGGTGACCTTCCCTCTGATGAGGAGGAAGTCATCAACAGTTCTGATGAAGACGATATCAGCTCTGAGTCCAGTAAAGGAGAGCCTGACCCACTGGAAGATAAACAGGTACATTTTGGTTGTTTGTACTTTTGCGTTTTTTGGCTTCTCACTATGCTTGGGGGTGATATTTATCAGCCTGGTAGGCACAAAAACCCTAGTGAGTTTTCTTACAACTTATAAAACATTTTCCAAATTTAAATTTAATTCCTGCTTTAATGTGGCACCTAACATAGTATCATGTTTCTAAGCCCATATCATTTAGAGATTACTTAGTGATTTTTGAGAAACTATTTTTACTAACATCTCCTGGCTTTCTTTTTGGTACTAAAAAGCCCTCTTAGGATTGTTCCTTGTAATGCTACCGATTCTTCTTAGATTTTTTTTTGAAAGAAAGAATTATATATGCATTTCAGACTCAATCAAATCTTTTTAGGGATAGAGTAACGATTGCTGTGGTAGTACATATTGTTTGCTCTGAGATAATTCAGTGTGTATGTGTTTGGGGGAGCACAACATACATGAAGATTGTCCACGTGTTGCTAGTTGCTCAGGATGTGTCACAGGGGCTTCATTATAATGTCTTGCTTAGTTTGGGTTGAATGTCTATTTATCTGTTTCATTTTAGATCACATTTATTTTAATTAACATATTAATAAAGGGAAAAAATTAGTATGTTAGCAGAGTCCCCGGGATGTATTGGAATGTTACAGCAAGATAGAATTTGAAAAGGTCCACACAACATATCAAGCCATGGAGAAAATCCATGTCACCTAACTCCTGTGCCATGATTTATCACTCCATTATCCTTCCTATTTGACATATTTTTGCTGTTTAAATTCATTTTCAGCCTTAAATGAATGGCACAAGTACAGTTGTCTGGATTTAAGTCCCATCTCCACCAGCTACAATCTGAGTAACTTTGGGCTAATTATTTAACCTTTTTTGAACTAAAAAAAAACTAGTACTTACAGAATTGTGAAGATTAAATGGTTTGATGTATGGAAAGCCTTAGAACACTGTCCAGTACCTAGTAAGAGCTCAATGATCATTTGTTTATTATTTATTACTAGCAAGACTTCCTTTCTATGCTATAAGGTATTAAATCATGGTTTTGGGAGTAACCACTAGAAATTAGTTAGGCAGGTGAATCTGTAAAACTCCTAAGGCATATGAATGGCTCTGTTCTTCTTAAAGACCCACAGCATTCCTCAGCAGCCTCAGGTTTTACTTTGACGCTCTTTGACTCTTGTGTCTTACTGGCATCTGTCTTGCTAAAATTTGAAAGCTCATTTCCCATATTTATGCTTCATGAACATAGATTCTACAAATAGTTATAGAATGCCCACTATGTCCTAGGCACCACTGGTATTTACTAGAAATAAACAATGTTCAAGGTCCAAGCTTCTATGATGCTCACATCCTAATGGGAAAAGAGGATCCATAAATGCATAAACAGGATGAACTTCAAAGTGTTACAGGCTATGAAGGGAACAAATCAGAGTGGTGTGCTAGAAACTGAGAAGGCTACTTTGATTTTTTTTTTTTTTTTTTTGGAGACAGGGTCTCACTATGCTTCCCAGGCTGGTCTTGAAATCCTGGGCTCAAGAGATCCTCCAGCCTCCGCCTACTGAGTGCTGGGATTACAGGTGCATGCCACGGCTCCTGGCTTAAGGAGGCTACTTTGGATAAAAGCCTCTGAGAACGTGATATTTGGCTATTTTTTTAATGCCCTTTAAATTTCTTTGTTCTCTTTTTTTTTCCTTAAATCTTTCATTTGTTGTTTTTTTTTTCTTTTTTCTTTTTTTTTTTTTACCATATTCCCTATCATCCTGAAATTGACTGAGATGTAAATGACTCCCAAAGCTTGTGAAGAGTTTGAGGAAGAGGATTCACATAGCCTTCCTCTCTAAGGGCCATAATTAAATCAACCATTACTCTCTCTTATGGGCAACCCTAAGTTCTTTCTTTTCCTAACATATTCTTTCTATCATTTTGGTTTAGTTGTTTCTTTTCCTTGAACCTTTTCCAATCTCCCGCCATACTTGAATTGGTTACCAAAATTGGTTTCCACATCCAACTAGGGATCTCCCTGATACACGGTGTAAAGAAGGATTAATCTCTGACCTCGTTGTGTTATGCCTCTTCCCAACACATCCTGTGATAACACTGCCTGGTTGACTCACTCATTCTGTGGGCAGTGGAGACTCCCAGGGTTCCTTCCTCTATATTTGTGGCTGCCTTTCCTATCCCTTCCTGTATTTATACTATTGTTTTATGTTCTTAGTTGTGCCACATTGCAATATCCCAGTTAAATCTTTATCTTTTTTTTTAAATGGGACTGTTTCTTTGGTTAGTTAGGGACATTTCATATTTTTTACCTGATGCCAGTAGCATTGATAATTTCCCTCCTTTGGAATTCTCAGCCACTCTAATGAACTTACTCTTTGTCTCGTCATCTGAGACAGCAATAGCAATAATGGAATAATCTAACTCTCCCTTTCTAGACAGTTGTCGATCCATCTAGCCACAGCCTGGTGAATGCTTTTCTCTCCATTTTTCTTTGGCTTAGTTTCCCCATCTTTAAAAAGAGAAAGAAGTAGAGTAGACCCTTGTCCTTATTTGCTAAGATTGGTGTGATGATTAAATGATTATACACTGTTTAGAACACTGCCTGACACAAAATGAGTGCCTAATAGATTTTTAGTTATTATTATTGATTTTTATGAAAATAAGCAAAATCTTAAACATCTTAAATCAAGCTTTATGTAACCTTACCAATTCATATATTCTTTCAAGTTTGCCTTTTCTTATCTTTGATGAGTAAATGTCAAACTTGTTTACACGTAAAGTAGTATTGTGTTTTACTGGAAAATTTTGAAATTTGGCATTCTTTTATTTTTCTTAAAGGAGGGGAGGGAAGGAGAGTCTGAAAGTTGGCATTCTAAGACCTGTGTTTCAGTCCCACTTCTGCTGCTTACTAGCTATTATATATGACCTTGATCAGATAATTTTTAAAAGTCAGTTACTTTATTTACAACAATCTTATTTCACAATAGGTTTTAGATGACTTAAATAAATTGCAAAATACAAAAAGTCAAAATATGTATAGTTAAAGAAATCAGGGTGTTAATAAATAGTGCTGTAATTACTGGCTATCCACCCGCAAAAGAATGGAGTTGGACCTCTTCCTTTTACCAAGAACAAAAATGAACTCAAAATGAATCATAGACTTAAGTGTAAGAACTCAAGCAGTAAAACCCTTAGAAGAAAATACAGAGTAATTCTTTATGTCCTTGGGTTAGGCAAAGGCTTCTTAGATACAACAGCAAAAGCACAAATGATGAGAGGGGAAAAATAGACAAATTGGACTTCATCAAAATTAAAAGCTTTAGTATAGCAAACAATAAGATCAAGGAAGTGAAAAGGCAACTCACAGAATAAGAGAAAATATTAGCAAATCATATCTCTGATCAAGAACTCATATAGAAAATATAAAGACTCTTACAACTCAATAATAAAAAGATAAATAATGCAGGCCTAAGGATCTGAATAGACAAAGGAAGATGTACAAGTGTCCAATAAGCACATGAAAAGATGTTCAACATCATAAGCCATTAGGGAAATACAAAGCAAAACTTT